GAAGGAAGGAAGGAAGGAAGGAAGGAAGGAAGGAAGGAAGGAAGGAAGGAAGGAAGGAAGGAAGGAAAATAGTCAGTTTTCTTTAATTTCTCTAAAGAAATACTGGTTGATTTACATGTTAACAGAAGAAAAGGTATTAACTAGACGAAAGTTGAGTGACAGCAGAAAGCCATCCAAGCAGAGGAAATAACGTGTAAAGATTCTGGGACAGGAGGCACAGTTTTTGAATACAAAGCGGGGGAGTGGGGGTGGAAAGCCAGCTACGATCTGGGAGAAGCTCTATGCAAGGCGAGATTGTGACTGGTCACTCCTTTATTTAAGGCTGTCCTCACGCAGTCTCTAGTTAAAAATTCTTTTTTTCTTGAAGAGCTCCAAAGCTGGTTTAAATTAGAAATTCCTCAAAATCAGGGACCATGTCTGTTTTATTTGCTTATAGAATGCCTAGCACAGCACAAAGTGCTAAAAGACACTTAATAGTATTTGATGATGATGAATGAGACAATCAGAAGATGACAGGAAGACAGCTGGATCGAAACAGCAGTACATTTAGAGAGACAGCCCTGATTCTTTTAAGAAGAGGGGGCTGCTGTTAAATGAATCACCTTAAAGAAGACCAAATAGAAGGCAAGGGAAACACAAAGTAGAAAACATGTGCTCCATTAACAAAGCGAGAAAAAGAAGATGAAACCATGAGAAAGTGGCTTCACAAAGTAAAAAAGAAAAGCTGTTACAGCATAAAAAACACTATACTAGATTTGATCAATATTTACTGTGCCTATAATATGCACAACTATGTTCTCTGGGTAATCAAACGTGAAATGAAGAACCCCAGTCCTTAGGACTAGGAGACAAATAAAACTTGTTACAAATCTATAGCGATGTGTTAATGAAGATTTGTGCAAAGTCACATGAGAACCCAGAAGGCTGACTGGCGATTCGGCATGGATTTTACTCCCAAATCAATCATATGTAAGACATAGGTGCTGCAGACAGCCACTGAGCCTGTTTTAATCATTGCAGGGTAATGGTTAAGAGCTCCCATTCTGATACTAGGTGATCCGGGTTCAAATCCCCACTTGGGAGCTGTCACTTACCCTCTGTGTGGTTAACTTTCCTCTTCTATGAAATAGGAACAGCGACCGTACCTGACCCACAGGGTTGCTGCTGCAGGGCGCACGGAGCACCTACAACAGTGCCAGCACGCGTAGGTGCTATTTTTTAGCTATAACCTCTTTTTCTTCACTTATAAAATGACTACCCAAAAACACCCAGCAAACTGTCTAAAAGCGAGAGCTTAGGAAAAAACAACAACAGATTAACAACCCTGGGCTGAGTTCAGCTCCACCATTAACCAGTGTAGGAGATCAAAATATGCTACCCCAAAACATGCCACTCTGGCATAAGGTTTATTTTGAGCTGAAGACCTATGAGAATCAACAAATGCAGGAAAAGGCTTTCTCTGAACTCTCTATAGGCCTAAAATAGATCCTCCCCGCCCCCCACAAAAAAAGAAAAAACCTTATTGTCATTAATCCCCTCCCCAGGAGTTTCATCAAGATTAACTCTTATAACAGGAGAGATAAGTCAACACCACACCCAGACAGACGCTGTAACAAACCATCATATCTCTCAGCCATTTTCCTAAGGCCTGTTTATCTTTCCTAAAAGTCATGTGCTCTCCCGTAAGTGGCCTTCTTCCCTCTCCCTTTCCCTTATTAAGACGTCTATAAACTCTCCGATCTCACCACTCCTTTGGGTATTCAGTTCTTTTTGTGATGCCCCATGCATATGAAATTAAAATTTACTAAATTTGTGTTGCTTTTTCTCCTGTTAATCTGTCTGCTGTCAGTTTAATTCACAGATCCAACCCGCCCCACCCCCCCACACACACACCCCATAGCTACCGAGCCTAAGAGGGTATAGGAAAAGTTTTTTCTCCCCTACATTAGCTATATGACTTTAGTTAAATTACTTTATCTCGTGAAACTTTTCTTCGCCTGCAAAATGGGAATGATCATAATCCTTCACTGGGTTTAGGGGGATTAATAGGTCCTTATTACTAATGAACTAACTGATCGCTTTGAGAATTAAGTTCTCAACTCTCTCTCTCCATCTACAGTGCACCGTGCAGAGCCTGCCACTTAGTAAATGCTCAATAAATGTCTGTAATAGCTATTGTAATATTCCAGCTCACCTGACCAAACACTTATCAGGATCAAATGAAACATTTAATTGAGGATACTTTATAAACTGCTAAGCATTACATGTTAAATGCTATACTATCATAAATAATAAGAATTATATCGAGCACATCACAGAACAAGAAAAGTAATATAAAAATTATACCTAGGTATTCACATGAAAAACAAAGTGAGGAAGAAAATGGGTATAAAAACTGTTAAATTTGCCAGGAGGTAGTCACAGTCTAGTTGGAAGTGAACTGGATGAGACCTCCAGGTTGTGCTCACAGATCAGTTCTCACGAATGTGGTTATATCATGTACGTTATTCCCTACTTAAAGATCAGCATCCTACTTCCCACCCATTGAAAAGCATACATACCAAGCCAAGCTCTCGCCACACATAAATCATTCTAAGTAATGGTACCTGGAATTTCATGATGACTTAGTTTCTGCTCAACTTAATTTTTAAAACCAGTGCGAGGTGGTATAAAAGTGTACTATCTTAAGAGACACCCAGGAGGTATAGTATATATAAATCCCTGAAGCTTCGCTTCCCCCAAAGATCTACTGCTTATCTATTTTTGAAAACTAAAGAAATCAGAGGAAAAAGCCATTTTGGTTCCATTAGGTTTGTAGGAGAATGAATGGGGTGCCTGCTGGCAGGAAATTTAATGTAGTTAGGCTGTGACTGAAGCAATCAGAGAGCATTTTTACTTTTGTTTGCATGACAGATTAAGCTTGCTGCTCTCACTGTTCTTAGCTGCAAACACCACTTCTAATAGCCTACACATACTCATAGGGTTTGCAAATGAGAAATAAAGGAGGTTTTTAAAATTGCAAATCCTCAGCAAAGCAAATTTATCTTTCCATGAGCCTCCTCTCTGAAGAAGGTGGCTGGTTTAACCCCTTGAAAGAAGACAAGCGCTGTACTCAGAGCAGGTCTTTAATATAAAATTAGGGATGATAACTACAAACCATTGCAAATTACAAAAAGTTCTCGAGAATAAACATGAATTCCGTTTTCCTCACCTTTGTACTCTGGATGGGGGAGCAAATATTCCATATCTTGGAGAACAACTAAAATACTGCACACCTCCAACTGAACCATCATTCTTGCCATGGGGTTTCTCAAGCTCTATACCATACCAACATCCTAGAACGAGAATTGTAGATTTGAAAAGCATCTGCCACTGTATCCCAAACTGTTATGCTGTTATACAAACCCAAAGTCTAGATGGTTTCGCATTTTCACAAGTGATCGAAATGATGAAAGATCATCCTGATCATTAAGCTTTCAAATGATAAAATTTGAAAAGTTGAAAAATGAACAGGAAAAACATTTTACAAGCTTAATTGCAGAGCTGTACATTAAGAGAGAAAGATAAAATGCACAAACACAAATTTGGCAAGGATTAGCTGTCATGCAAGTAGTGTATGACCAAAATATATCTAAAAGCTTCAACGACGAAGAACCTGTCCTTGACTTGGCAATGTGTGTTTAACTGAGAGGAGTACAGCATAACACTGAGATGTATAAATCATAAAATGAACATGCAATCTTTTCATCTTACTCTCCCAATATCAGGATACCACAAACGGTTCTTAAATAATTAAAGAACAAAAACAATAGGAAAAATATGACTGAACATCATGGCGACTCTTCTTTTACTTTCTTTTCCCTGACCCGGGATAAAAAGAAATATTCTTTCTAACCTAAATGAAAAGATTTAGGTTACCTAATAGGAAGACTATTCCAAAAGACTTTTAAGTATTTAAAAGAATCCACTTGAAGGAAAATAATAGGATTTCTTTCTCTAGAGAGCTTAAAATTAAAGTAGTGAGGTTGCTTTTTGTGTCACCAATACAAGGTAAGAAAATAAATACTCTTAGAGTAAAGATTCTAAAATTGAGGGTACCTCAAGACCAGCTAAGACTGCCTAATCATCCGTTCATTTTTTTTATTTAAAAGGAGAATATCATCGTAATTGTATTTGGTCTCGTATAATCAGCATCAATTAAAAAATAAGGATACAGATATTGAGAAACTTATTGCAAATTACCAATTCCAAAGTACAAAAATATTGTTTCTTTCAGATTACTAATTCGAAGAGTCAAATATATAAAATCTAAAAAGACAACCTAGTCTATGGCCATGCTACCATGAACGAGCTGATCCCATCTGATCTCGGAAGCTAAGCAGGGTCGGGCCTGGTTAGTACTTAGATGGGAGACCACCTAGGAAGACCAGGTGCTGTAGGCGTAAAAAATAGAAAATATAAGAGACTGTAAGATGACAAGGTCCTTGCGATCTGTGAGGTTAACCAAGGGTTGCCGTGCCTAAAAAAGTAATAATAAATAAATAAAAGTGTGAGGTTAACCAAGGGTTGCCGCGCCTAAAAAAGTATTAATAAATAAATAAAAATAAAATAAAATAAAATAAAATAAAAGGACAACCTAGACAATCTTAGTTTTTTCCCTATTATGTTCAAAAAGATGGCAGTTGAGCCAATTTCCAGTTTGGGCTGGAGTTTGGGTTGAAAAGACTAATTGCATGACCATATCTTTTATACTTAAACAGTCCTACTATGCACAAGTAGAGAGTAATGTATACAAATCTATTGCTTAGCCACACTAATGCTCTGAAAAGAGGCCATCACATTTCTGAATGTCACTAACCAGGTTAGCTTGGTTGCCTTCTTATTTCTCCAAGAGCCACAGTTATAATTTTCCAAGTTTTACTTCCCTCTGCCTTTAACGCTTTCCTATATAATTTTTTTGCATTTTCCCATTTTAAGACACCATATAACTGCTCCATATAACTCTTGAAAATGTGTGACACACAACGGAAAGATATTATGACGAGGGGTAACAGCAGTGACCACACATTGTGTGGTAGTCGGGAGGTGCGGATATCTTCTCACTTAAATGGTAATATTCTTTCAGCACTGGCCCTGATAAAAATGCTAAAGAGGCTACACAAGATCTGTCTCAGGTCTAGATCTCATGATCTATTAAAAAAACCCAGATATTATCACTGTTCTACAGAATCGATTGATCAACTTTTGATACCACAAGAAATATATACTATTACTTTCTGAAAGGCAGAATGAGTTTAACAAAAAGTTTCTAACTTTTATTATATTGGCTTGTTACTTCCCAAAATTCTAAATGCTTCACATACATAATTTTAAAATTAAAAGTTGAACTCCATGATAAATTGTATCCAAGGAAATCAAACTGTTCCAGTCTCATCTAATATAACCCCATAAAGGAAACTCAAAAGACATATGGTGATTGTGGAAAATAAAGCTAACTTTGGAATTCCTAAGTTTTTATTTGAGAACTATATTAAGAACATCCTAACTAGTCTCAATTACTATCTGGAGACCTAAGAGAAACATGAATTATAAAACAAACAGCCCATCTCAAATCAATTAGTTGGATTGCAATTACAAGTGGTGTTAATGAAATAAGAATGTGTTCGGAGACAATTCTCCATGGGGCTCTGTGTTTCTGCACATTTTATGGACAGAGGTGTTGATTGTCTCATCATGAATATTTGTACGGAGGACAATCTTGGAGGAGAGAGACAGTCTCCTCCAGCACAAAAGACAGGCATGCCAAGTGCCATGCATAAACGTTCAGATTCCTTAAGCTCATGGCTCCTCTCCCACAGCTTAAACCACTGATGTGAAGGTATCACCTGGCCCTCTCTATCACCCTCTGGGAACTGGGGCTCAGGGAACAAGTGTAAGAAAAGGCTGACACTCTGGCTACTTACTCCTCTTGTTGCGAGTACTGAAGTCTTCTGTCTCTGACCCAGAAGCCCAACATCTTCTGCCAACATCTATGAAACTGAGGCAATCTAACTTGTTAGCTTGCAAACGGGGTAAAATCTCAAATCCTTCAGTTCTGCTATAAACTTTTTTAAAAAATCAATGTTCTAGGTAACCTGTTCCTTACATGCTGCAATGCCACCATGTGTCAAAACAGCAAATTGCTATTTAAAACATACAAACATGGTTTCATTCAACTGGCTTCTATTTGAAATTGCAATCACTAAAAAATGCAAAAGAAAGATAATCTTTACTTTCAGAAACATAACATAAGTCTACATTGGAATGAATACATAAATACACAAACTTGTATTTTTAAGGTCCCAGGGTATGCAGAAACTTTTTCATTTTCCTTTGAACCTCTGTTTGCTTTTCTCTACAACCCGCTCTGATAAAAGCTATTTATGGTTAACTATTATCTACTCATTTTCAAGATTATCCTTGGCAGAAATCTAATCCTGAAACGTTTCCTCTGTTATTAAGCACGCTGGGCAATCAGTGAGAGTAAAATTGGAGAGTGACAAATAATTTCAACACTAAGCAATTTAAAACACAATTGGCAAGAAAATTTTTTGGATAACAAACAGTCGACCTGAGTACAAACAGTCTGCATTTTAATCATTGTTTTTGCATTTTCTGTGCCACAGCTACCGTCCACAGGAACTGTTCATCGAGAATTCTCTACAATTAAATGGTATTTACACGTGAAATTATAAACCTTTTGTATTCTAAAGAATTCAAATAGAGCAAAGAATATGCAGATGAGTTACCTGGAGCAAAGTTTGTTGTCCCAAAGAACTTAATGGTGCCAATTCTCTGGCCAACCACCAACACTCTATCTCCGAGTTGGAGTTCACCTTCACAACGCGTATTATTTGCTACAGATGTTGCTGAGGAATTCAAACCTGTTTAATTGGTTGGAGGGGGAAGGGGATAGGGTAGGAAAAGAGAAAAAACAAAGGGAAAAAACTCAAAAAGCACATTTGCCACAAAAAAAAAAAAAAAATCACTATGTATTCTAATCAGTCTAATTGGTGGGAGATTTCAATATGTGATGCTTTCATTATGTATATATCGTCCACAGTTCTGTTTCTCACATGTGAGGTCAAACTCCCCAAAGGAAATGTGAAGGGCTTCCTGAGAAAACTATTGCCATGGAAACTTAACACGCACGATTCCTGATCAACTCCATCCAGACTGCCTGATGGCACTCTCTCCAAGAACAGATGTCAGCGCACTTCCTGTCAAGGGCTAGACAGTAAATATTTCAGGCTCTGTCACAACTACTTAACTCTGCTGTTGTGGCACAAAAGCAGACATAGAACGGGCACGGCATGCTCCGATAAAACTTTATTTACAAAAGTAGGTGGCAGGTTGGATCTGGCCCTGTGCCAGTAAAATGCTACAATTATAGTAGTCCACTGGGACTCACTGTAAATGATACACACGGGAATATGATTTGAAGGTGACATTGTTATAAGGTTCCAATTGCCCCAAATCGATTTCCTTATTAGAAACAAAACCACTCCACCCTCACCTTGACTCAAACCTAAACCCTGAAATGCCCACTATCTGACATCAGAAGTCTTGGAGAAATACTGTCCAGAAAGCTGTTCAATTGTAACAGAGCGGAGGCGGGCCCTTAAGGCGTCTCCCGTCAGTCCATAAACAGATCTGAACAGCTGTCATCTGGGAAGGCCCAGAGAACCCCAAGTGAGGGCAGAGGATAGAGGATAAATCGCACCGTTAAAGGGGGAGGAGCTAAAAACACGGCAACAGATGAGCAACATAAACCCGGGGAGAAGGAAGGTCTGGATGAAGCGCAGCGCCAGAAAGTCCTAGGCCCTCAGCGCAACTTCGACTTCCACAGAGCTTCACGGTTTACAAAGTGCTTTTCGCAAGAATCGTAATTACAGATAAGATAGAAACTCAGGAGTTAATGAAGACATGGTATTCACAGGTAGCAGGTGGCACGTCTGGATTAAAACCCAGACTCTGTGACCAGAAATCCTCAGGGCTTTCCCCACACTGTCTGCAGACGATGGACCAAAGACAAGTTCAACAATGGGACACAATGCGGCTGAGAACACAGACTTCCTCCCCTTCCTCTCCCTCCCCCCTCACCCGGTCTTTCTGCTCCTCCTGCTCCTTAATTCTTTATCCTAGCTTCCTAATAATGTCCACTCTCTGCATTCCATATCGCCCTGAAACACGAATCTGTAGAGAAAGGGGAATGTCAACAACTCCAGAAAATTTCTTAAGGAAACGTCTCTGGGGTCACAAACGTGGACTTAAGCTCACGTATCTCCCATTCTCAACTCGATAACTCTCTTCATCTTTACTATTATCTAAGTCTACATATCCCTCAGATTTATAAAAAGAAAAAAAGATTAAATGTGTAAGTACACTAGAACTACTTCTTATAAAGGGTACGAAAAGGTAATTCCGTACTCACATAAAAAATTTTTAAATCGAGAAAATGTCAAAAGCCAAAATTCCAAATGAAGGAGGCCTTAAAGTGTAAACAAAATGAAGATAAAGAGGATTGTGACATCACGACATCACTTCCTCTCCTTGCCTCTGTTCCTCCCAGCGCTGGGGAGAAAGTGTTTATGGAGGGAGAGGTATCTATTTGGAAAATAAATATTCCAGGGAAACAATTTCAGGCAAAACTTCTAGGGTTCTCTATGTTCAGAGTCCCAACTTTTAGGTTTATTATGGCCATCTTACTGTTGAGGGTTGGTGTGTTTGTTTTTCTCCACATATAATAAAGTGTTTTAAAAAGTAAAAAAATCCTGTCATGAACATTTTCTATAAGAAAATATAGGTTCAGTACAGGTATTCGAAGTATTAGAAAAAGAATCTGGTAATTATGAAGTTTATTAAAAACAAATTATGCCAAAATGGCTTTATTTCCTTTCTGGACAAGTTTGCTATATAGATAAATAAGTGAACTGCAGTAATTCGATAAATGCTAATTTCAACATGAAGCTTGATAAAGCATTTTATGTGTCCCTACACATAACTGAAGAAATGGGGCCCGAATGAGATTATATGCAGGGTTCACAGCTAGTTAAAAAAACCACATCAGAAAGGTTATCGTTGTCAGCCTGTTAGGAGAGGCTCTGACCCTCTCCCGCATAGTTTTAAATGACTAAGATAAAAATAGAGAAAGCATGCTTTTTAAACATGAAGATGGCACAAAAGTATGTGAAAAAGCTAATATGCAAGATGTAAGAAATGAAATTCAGAGGGATGAAACCTCTAACATTAACTGAAAATAAATGTAAAGCCCTATGCTGAGCAACAAAATGAGGAGATTTAGCATGAGGCTCCATCTGAGCTAATAAGAGAGTAGCCACCAAAACTACATGAGCGGCCGCAGACGGCACTTGTCTGGAGCGGCAACAGTCCAGCTCTACACCGGCTGGCAGGAGGGGTCTGGAGACCCCGTAGCATGAGGAAGAGCAGAAAGTGCCTGGGATGGAGGAAGACTATTAACAGTTGCAGAGAAAGCATCAGACAGGCCTGTGGGGAAAGCCCAGGTGTGCCAATTACGAACTGCCATCGTGCACTCTGACTTACCTCCCTAAGCCTTGGTTTCCTCACTCATAAAATGAGCATGATCGTAATAGTACCTACCCCATAGGTTTATTTTGAGAACTAAATGAAGTAAGGTATATAAAGTGCCTAGAATAGTACCTGAAATAATAAGTATATAATACATATTAGTTATTATTATTAGGTTAGAAAGGAAATAAGAAAGATAACAGCCCATACGGTTTCCAATTATCTGAGGATCTACCACAAAGTTCTAAAATGAACCTTAAAGGGTTGGAGGCCTTAGACACATGGGGAAGAGAAGAAGTCAATCCGGACAAGGAAAATTGTGTGAGCACTAGGAGGAAGGCTGAGAAATCCAGAGTATGTTTGCGCAGGGGGCGGGGGGAGGGCGAGGGCTGTGAGGGAGACAGGAAAAATGAAGTAGTTCAATCTGACTGAAGTAAAGGGTTCCTTTTACACATTTAAAAAGAGCAAATCTACTTACAAACAAACCAAGATAAAAAACACCAAGAAAGCCTGGTTGAAAAAGCCATAGATACCAGCACTGGCTCTAGATGAAACAGACGGGCTTTTGCTCATTGTCTTCTTGCTATTGCTACTTGCATTCAGTTTCTGGGAGCTCTGTCTGTGTTCCAAAGAAGATGTAGAGGACGAGCTGCTGTTGGATCCAAGCAGGTTAGCTAAAGCAGGTAAAGGAAACGAATACTTCAAAGGGTGGAAAAGAGGGAGTGAATCAATGAGATGCTTTTCCAGGTAAATCTCTCTGACATTCTCCACTTAGCTTCTCCAATTACGGATTATACAATGTTGAATCGAATGACTGGTTTCATCCAAATATATCATAGTTCGTACATAAAAGATTTTATTACCTGAGCAACTGTATTTTAAGGACTCACATTATCTGACGACAATCTTAGATAAGAAAATGTCATCACATCCATGAACTTAAACTGTTTCCAACCACCAATCCCTCACCTCTCACTTTACATGAAATAGTAGAATCTCATCTTATTCGTACAAAAAAAACCACTACTGATATGTTTTAAGGTAACAAAGTTGAATATTAAAATGTTTTGAGTTAACCTGAAGGCAAGTAGGAATACTTTTGAATTTCTTATTCATGTTCTACTGACCCAATGATTTGATAGCTAAAGGCAACTTTAAATACTTTTATCAAGCTATCCACACTACATAATTTCCTTTTATTCTCTTAATTAGTCCAATAGTTCTCTAATTTAAGTGTACATAAGAATCATAGTGCAGAATTTTATACAAAAACGTATTTACTTTAGTATGAGTTGCCTGGGGGATTTTCAACGGTAAATTTTTACTATAATGATTTTTCCCTTACAAACTTTAAAATTTAGCTCCCATCTAAATTATATCACTGTATTATTTTAAAGTTCCATCATAAAATTAAATTTTTAGAACAAAATTTATAAATTATATTACCATCTTTTTCTGTTACAGTTTTCAATTCTTCACCAGGAGGTAATGACAGTGTCGATTCAGAAGCACTATCTTTTTTTAATGTCATTAGTCCTAGGACATAGAAACAAAACACTTTAAGCAAGAAAGGATTTTGTCTAACGTTAAACAGAAAAAAAAATGTATTTCCTTTTTAAAGTACAGATATCCCTCATTATCTACATCTTATCCATCTCTAAAAACATACTGGATAATAAATTCACAGATAGCAGGACCAATATTCTATTATTTAAAGGGAAAAGGAAAGAATGCATTCCTAGCCCATCTGAAAACCCCAATTTCCCCAAATATCACTAAAGTATCTTTTAAACCTATTTAACAATATACTAAGGAACTGTAAATAATATAAAGCATTTAAAATATAGTTACCTAATTGTTTGATATTTAATGCACTCATTAGTGTGTTTGCACAATATCAGCAGGTAAAGCAAACCTAATACAGCCGAGATATGACAGACTTGCAGACAACTTACATCACTTCACTGGCATGTGCGTGCAATCTCATTGCAGTGGATTTTCTATTTATATAGTGAATTTGGGGTAAAAGCTTTTACAAATCAATATAGTAATTATTCATTTAAGTGAGAGTCAGATAATAAATTCTGTACACTCTGCCACTGGTATTCTGAAAATGATTACCTCACTCTAGGTACACTAAATTCCCACCAAAAAAAAAAACAACTTTGAAAAAGAAAAAGCTCATAAATACTACTCTACCTTATTAAGACTCCTGTTTCAATTCTACAGAACCAAATTATATAAATCAGAAACTTAGTGGACTATACCCGGTCTTAAATTCCATCAAATATCCATTCCAATTCTACTCATTTATGAAGCATTTTTGGTGAAGAACTATGCTTGGCACTGCAGCCTTCACAAACATGAACAAGACATGGTCTTAGCCCTAAAGGAGGACCTTTTCAATTTGGTAAAATACACATACACGTGAATAACTAAAATATGAAGACTTTTTTTTATATAAGCACTAGCACAGAAGGAGGAGGTAATAATCATGCTTACAAAGATAAATTAATCCCTCAATAAGAAGATCACAGTTTGAGATGAGTCTTAAAGGATAGGTCAGATTCCTTCTAGAGAATACCGGAGGTATCATCAGAAAGAACTGAGGGAAGGCATTTTGGACAAACAAAAAGGAAAAATAAAGTCTTAAAGACAGGATCAGAGAAGGAGGAGTAGCTTGGCTGAAATTAAGACTACTTTGGGGGATGAGAGAGCAGTAAACTGGATGGATAGGTCACAGTAAAATCTTAGAAGTGATAGTCTGGGCTAAGGATCTGGAACTCCTCAGTAAGGAACAAGCCTCTCTGATGGGCTTGGAAAAGGAGGATCGGCATGAGCAGAGTTAGAGCCAAACAGCATGACCCTGACAGCTAAGTTTAGCAGGAAACTAGAGGAGAGATGGAGGCAGAGACCACTCAGCAGTGATTACACAGGCCAGGAATGAGGGCCAGAACTCTAACAGCAGGAACTGAGCAGATAAGCGGGTAAGAGAGACTTTGTGAAGGTAACCCACGGAGTGAATTTCTTATTTTTAAGTTAGACTTTCCAGCTCTAAAATATACATTTGGTCCTTTCTTTTTACTTGAATTATTGTTGGGATAACCGGAGATTTGCATGCAAACAATATAGGGAGATTTCTCGTACATTTTGTCCAGTTTCCCCCATATCATAACCAGGAATCTGACATTGATACAATCCACCAATCTTACTTAGATCATCCCAGTTTTAGACATATTTGTGTGCGTGTGTGTGTGCGTGCGTGCACATGTGTATGTACACATGCATCATTTGTTTTGTTATATCTTCATTTCTCTACTGAAACTTTCCGTTAGTCTCAAGAGTGTTTATCCTTAATTCTTAGAGAGTTAGTCATAATATATTATTTAAAGTCTTTATCTGATAAATATCTGTATCATCTCAGGATTGGCATCTTTTGATTGTCTTTTTCCTTCAGAGATGTTGAGACTTTCTTCGTTTTTCATATTTTGAGCAATTTCAGATTATATCCTATACATTACAAATATTATTTTATAGGAATCTGGTCTTGTTTACATTCTATGGAGAATGTTGTTTTGTTCTGTTTTAGCAGGCAGTTGACCCGGTTAGATTCAGGCTGAAAGTTCCTACCCACCTTCTGTCCAAAGCTGTTTTGGAATCTGTCTCAGGTGCTTTGCCACCCAGTTATCAGCCTGGGACCTGGGCAGTGGTCTACACAGGAGACCCGAGCCTGTGGTCCGCTCCGTGCATGCCCAGCTTGAGTGTAAGCCCAGGAGTTCACACCCAACGTTTTGAGGTCACTTTCTTGAGCTCCCTCCTTGCCATGGTCTCCCTGACACTTTCCTGATCCCAGGGGCCACCCCCTTCTGGTATTCTGGGTAGAACGCCGAGGCTTTACTTTCCCTGCTCTGTCCTACAATCTCCTACGACTAACTCTGCCTCTGGGGCTAAGCAGTGAGGAAAAAAGGACAAAAACTAATGGGGATTCCATCCGTTTGGGGACAACAGTTTCTCTGGTCAGAAACAAGGGTTCTCCCTTGGGGCTTAGGGTGCCCATCCAGCCCAGGCTGCTGCTGCACCGTGCTGTACCGCCAGGGGGCTGGGGCGGGAAAGAACCAAAGCGGGGAAAGCGCTCAAGACACAAAGCAGGGGATTTCCTCCACTTTCTGTCTAGTAGGGGGCCCCTTTCTCGCTCCGCAGACCAGAAAGAGAGGGCTTCTCTTTGAGCTTCCTTTCCATGTCTGCAGTGTACTTCTGGGCTTCAGGTTAAAGGACACCATGTACAATAGCTCCAAAAAGTATGAAGTACCTTGGAATAGACCTAACAAAACAAGTACAAAATATCTGTAGAGACCATTACAAAATCTTCTTGAGATGTTTTTAAAAGACCTAAATAGAGAGATATCCCAAGCTCATAATTAAAAGACTGAATATTGTAAAGATGTCAGTTCTTCCCACTCTAATTTAAGGTTTAAATGCAATACGAGTTAAACCTTCAGCAGATATATTTTAAAAGAAACTAACAGCTTATTCTAAAACTCATACGGAAGCGTGATTTATAAGGGCCCAAATAGGCAAGACACTGTTCAAGAATAAAGTAGGCGGCTTTCCTCGGCTTTCCTTTACTAGATATCGAGGTTCATTTTTTTTAAATTATAGGAATTACGAAGTGCAGTATTGACACAGGGACATTCAAATAGTCCAATGGAACAGATTAGAGAGGCCAACCAAATTCTTTGACAAAATCCTTTAATCATTAATGAGTCAGCAAGTATGTATCGCGCTCCTATTTTGTGCTGTATGCTACAGTGAATGCGAAAATACAAAATACTCTCACGGTCCATTTAAAGTCTAAAATTTTGCCGAGAGAATAGAAGATCTGCACAAATAAAGCAATCAGAAGACAAAACCCAAGATAACAAATAACTGGGTGCTATTTATAAAAGTGTATACGAAGTTAGGGAATGTAGGGATCAAAACGCTCTGGGGTCATGGGGAAGTTTTCATGGAGGAACAAGATCTGAATAAGGAGGTTAAAGCATGGCTAGGACCTCCAAAGGCAGAGGTCAAATGACTGCACTTGGGGCACTAGCATGAGACCAAGAATGAAGGGGAGAGTGAGAACGATGTGCACAAGAGACAGGGAGATCTAACAAACCACAGTCCAACTGTGGAAGCAGTAAACGACTCCACCAAATACAGAAACGACTCTGCCAGTTTCAAAAGTCGGGATCTTTTCTGGTTAAAAAAAAAAAAAAAAAATCACTAAAACTCCTGAGCAGGTGATAAACATAAAGCTAGCTGCAGTATATAAAGATTTATTAGAGGCATAAAATCTAGCTCTGAGGTTAGATTAGGGTGGCAATAGAGGTATGGATAGTAGGAAAGGAAAAAGACAAAACTGAAACACTCTCGTCAGGAATTAAAATCGTAAACTGTGATTGAGGTCGAAAACACTTAAGATCCAGGGTTTATTAGATTCGGTTTTCACAGCCAACAAAAAAGGGTGAAGTAATCTAAATATAAGGAAGTCCACAAATAAAAGTGCCGAAGGAGATGATCCTTAACTTTCCAGTTTGACCTACCAGTATTTACTTTTGATGTTACGTGAGCTACATCGATTTTCTGAGACCTGATGAGAGGTACGGCTTTCGAAGAAGGAGTGTGTACTATATTCTTCCTTCGGTCTTTTGCTTTACTTATCTTTGAAAGAGGTGCAAAAATACCTACGGGAGAATGGAGGAATTGAGTGTTAAGCAATCAGAAGTATTTCAAACAAAGGGGCCAGTACAACTGTTTAGTAATATAAATCTTTAAATTCTTTTTTAGTGCCTACTAGGTGTCCTGTAGTAAGAAACGAAAAAAAAGTAAGACAGAGTACACACTCTCAAAGAGCTTAGAATCTAGTTGTCAGGACTAACAACACACGCAATAATTTAAGAATCACATAAAAGATACATAATTAGGTATTAAGTGAAGTTCAGGGAAAAAAGAAGTGAATAATAGTGTTTCCTTATAATTATTTCTGACTAAGCTATTGACAAATAATAATGCACTATGTAATATTAAAAACTAGTCTTCCATGTCACTTTATATCTCTTTTCAGACATATTTTCCCATATTATAGCTTTTTATGTCCGTGTTTTATCTCTCTTCAAGCCTGTACACCTTTAGAAGATAAAATTCAAGCTTATTCTTTTCTGCATTTCCCCACTCTTCCCTAAAGGCTTAGCCCTCAGCTCCTGAAAATCAGGAACAATACGGTACATGCTGGAGAAGGGAGGCATGCCTCTCCTTTAGGTGATGAGATTTAGGGAGGCCACATGCATTCTGTTAACAATCCTTAAGCTTTTCCCAGGTATCTGATTTACATCCGCCATATGCGTTGCTAATGATTTTGATCTTGCCTTTAGTCTCCTTGAAGGCTGCCAAAATTAGCTAACAGAGGATAATTAAAATTAAATTCTTAATCTCCCACAACTAACCAAATAAATTCCAAATGGATTAAGTAATATAGCATAAAAAAAATTAAAACATTTAAAAGAATAAAATATATAACATAAGTTATCATTAGATGAGAAAGAACTATCTGAGCATAAAAGCAATGTAAGAAATTATAAAGGAAAAGTCTTTTAACCATATAAAACTATATGTCCAAAAATACTGCAAATTAAGTTCAAAGGCTAATGACAAACTGCACAAAATATCTGTAGTAAATATAAGAAATTAATATTCTAAATATGTATTTTTAAAAATTCTTATCAGTTTTAAAAAACACTAATATCCCAATTTTTAATGGGCAAATAATATAACCATTTTGCCGAGGTAATATAAAAAAATATAAACTACAATAAAATATTTTAAATGTTTTATTTCACCAGAGTCAGAGCACTATTAATTCAAACACTGACATTTTCACCCATCAAACTGGAAAAATTAAAGGAAATGGAGACACAAAAAATCATATTTTTAAATAATATTTAAAAACTTGAGGAAATTATATTGGTGTCAAATAAAAACACAGAATATATAACTATATATAATCCAAATTTTGTGAAAAAGTGAAAACAGAAAAATATACAGTTGACTTATTTTCTCCTTTTTATGAATTTCAAATCTTCTATGATGAGCGTTTTTTAATAAACAAAAAGATTTTTTAATAATGGACCAAAAAATGAGGCTCCATCCTAAGTGTCTGACAAAAGGAAGTGGTTGTTTTGATAAATTTATAACAGCTAGCAAATAGCTAACATTTTTGAGTGCTTACGGGGAATCAAATACTATTCTAGGTGCTTTATCAATTTATCAGCATATTTAATCCTTACATGAATTCTTGGGATATTGTTATCCTTATTTTATAGAAGACAAATTAAGGCACAGGAAGAGAAAGATGGCTGGTCATACAGCTGGTAGGCAGAGAAGCTGATTCACACCCAAGCACTCAGACTCTAAAGTCCGTACTCTTCAGCATTATACCATATTGCTTCCTCGTAGAGCTACCAATGCAACCAGGGAAATGAATGTTCTAGAAGAATATTTCATGGCAAGGAAAAATATTCACAACGTAGTGAGTGACAAAGTAAAATCAACGTGTCTAGGTGTGTGTGTGCACGTGTGTGTATGAGAGAGAGATAGAGAAAATGAATTTAATTTAAAAAAAATGGTTCAGAAAGAGAGTCATCTCAGCTAAGGAGTGGAGTAATAAAGTTGGCCTCACTTGCTTTTCCAATTTTTCAAGTTTTCCAACCTCCAAAGTTTAGTATTTCCTTGATAACAAAGTCCCTCCCTCAGTCATGAAACCACCACTGGCAGGATTTGAGGTCTGCGGAGCTGGGTGTTCTCCTGGTGAGATACCATCTCCCAACCACGACACTGTTCACAGCAAGAAGAGACAGCCCCTTCGTTTATTATGTAAGTAACTAGGGGGAAAGTTTTATTTTAAAACGATAAAAGAGTAAAATTTGATTCTTTTAACTTAATCATCATTAACTTAGAATCTTCCTTACCGTATTTGGGGGCACACTTAAAGTACTGGACTTTCCCAACACTTCCATTGTTTTTTCCTTCTGGCTCATCCAACTCAATGCCAGCCCACTGCCCACTTGCAAATTCAGTTGTTCCACAAAACCTTAATGTTCCAACCTAAAGAAAATATAAAACAGAATAACTTCCGCGTATTACTAGTAATTTTAAGTATCCTACTCTAGCAACTTTACCATAGAAGTTTTTAAAAACTATTCTGTCAAAGTAGACTTCAGAACAAGGAATATGAGCAGGAATAAAAAAATACGTTAAATAATGATAAATGAGTCAATTCATCAAGAAGACATAAGAATCCTAAATCTGCATGCACCTAACAACTGAGCTTCAAGTAAAAAATTGAAAGAACTGAAAAGAGAAATAGACAAAGCCAAAATTACAGTTGGAGACTCTGACACACCTCTGAGTAATCAATAGGCTGAGTAGGCAGAAAATCAGTAAGAACATGAAAAAACAAGCCAACTTGATGTAACTGACATTTATAAAACATTTCACCCAAAACAACAAGATACAAATGTAAAGGAATAAAAATTATACAAAGTATGTTCTTAGACCATATGGAATTAAACCAAAAATCACTAATAGAAAAACATATGGAAAATCTCCAAATATTTGGAAATTAAAAAATATACTCCCAAATAACCCATGGTAAAAGAGAAAATCACAAGGAAAAGTATAAAATATTTTTAATTGAATGAAAATAACATATCAAAATTTGTGAGATGTAACAAAAGCAGCACAGAGAAGAAAATTTATATAAAAATGCTTATATTAGGAAAGATCTCAAATCAATGATATAAACTTCCACCTTAAGAAACTAGAAAGCGAAGGCCCAAAGCAAGCAAAAGGAAGAAAATAATATAGATAAGTAATTAAGAACAGAAAAACAATAGAGAAAATCAACAAAACCAAAAGCTGGTTCTTTAGAAAGATAAATGAGATTAATAAACTTTTAGTTAGAGACCAAGCGGGGAGAAGAGACAAAAGACACAAAATACAAACACCTTGAGTGAAAGAGGGGTATTGTTACATTCCCTCAGTCATTTAAATAGTAAGGAAATACTATAAATAACTTTATGCCTATAAATTTGACAAATGAGATGAAATGTATTGGTTCCTTGAAAGAAATAAACTGCCAAAGTTTATACCTGAATTAAATTTGTAGTTAAAGTCTTCAAAAAAAAAAAAAAAAAATCAGACCCAAACAGCCTTACTGGTGAATTCCACCAAAGAATTTAAGGAAAAATAGTACCATTTCTATATAAACTCATCTAGAATATAAAAATAGAGGGATCTATCCTTAACTCATTTTATAAAGCCAGCATTACACCTCAATACCACAAACAAAGGCATTACAAAGAAAGAAAACTATATACCAATATCCCTCATGAACACAGACACAAGAATCCTCAACAAAATAATTGCAAATCAAGTCCAGCAATACACAGGAAGGATAATACATCGTGACCAAGTGAGGCTTATCATGAGAATGCAATGCTATTTCCACATTTGAGAATTAATATAATTCATCATATTCACAGACTAAAGAGTGCGGGGAACCTTGTTCTTCTGACACATGCAGAAAAAGCCTGTAGCAAATTTCAATATCCTTTCATGATAAAATTAACTTAAAAAAAAAAAACCTCTAAGCAAAGTAGGAATAGATGGAAACTTCTTCAGCTTAATAAAATACAAAATCTACAGCTAACAATTATCATATGTAATAATGAAAGATTGAGTGCTTTCCCCGTAAGACTGGGAACAGGGCAAAAATGTTGGCTCTTACCATTTCTATTCATCCTAGCATAAAACAGAAGAGAAAAATAAAATGCATAAAGACTGGGAAAAAATAAAACTGTCTCCATCCACAGATAACATGATTATTTACATAGGACACCTCAAAGAATCTGCACACACACACACAAAAATAGGCCAATAGAACTAATAAATTTAGCAAAGTTACAGGATACATGATCAATACACAAAAATCAATTGTATTTCTATATGCTAGCAATAAAAAATTAGAAAATAAAATTTCAAAAACACCACTATTTACAATAGCACCAAAGATCATGAAAAACTTAAGTATAAATCTAACAAAATAGGTATAGTATCTAAATGCTTAAAAACAAAACTGATGAAATAAACCAAAAACCTATTAGAGAGGTATAGTGTGTTTGTGAAAGACTCAACATTTTTAAGATGTCGGTTTCCTCAATCTGATCTGTGTTTAACACAACTCCACTCAAAATCCCAAGAGAATTTTTTGTAAAAATCTATAAATTGATTCTAAAATGTGCATGGAAAGGCAAAAGAACTTTAAAAAAAAAAAAAAAAAGAAAGAAAGAAAAAAGAAAACGAAAAAAGAAAAAAATCGAAGGCCTAAAAATATCTGATGGTAAGAATTACTATAAAGCTACAGCAATCATGACAGAGTAGTATTGAAGAAAGGATAACTATTAGATCAATGGAGCAAAATACGATCCAGAAATATACCCGCACATATGTGGTCAATTGACAAAGGTGCAAAGGCAATTCAAGAAAGAAAAAATAGTCTGTTCAGAAAATGATGCTGAAACAAATGGATAGATAGATGGATGGAAGGAAAAGAGAAAAAGAGAGAGAGAGAGAGAGAAGGAGAGAGGAAAGAAGGAAGGGACGTCTATCTACACCTAGTACTCTATAAACAAAAATAAACTAAAAATTAAATATAAAACTAAATGTAAAACCTAAAATTATAAACTCCTAGAAGAAAAGATAGTAATTTCTTAGATATACTAAACACACAGTCCATAAAAGAAAAAGCTGATAAAGTGGACTTAATCAAAATTTTAAATTTCTGCTCTTTGAAAAACACTCCTAAGAGAATGAAAAGCTAAGCAATGGACTGAAAGAAAATAAAATGAAACAAGACTGGCCAGAGGATGATAAAGTTAAACCCAGCTGACTGGCATATGAATGCTCATTATATGAATGCTCATTACATGCTTCTATTTTTGTATAGCTTTAAATTATCCAAAATAAAAAGTAAAATAAAACAACAGAATAATAATTCTTCTAAACATCCATTCTCAGACATAGGACAGGAATGCTAATGAAGCTGAATATTAATCCCAAATTTTTAAAAAATGCTCTGCATTCATAATTTTTTTATATTTTAGCTCCACAGATAAAATGATGAAAAATTAAATGTCCTATGAATGTATATTCTTTTGGAAGTTGGTAAATAACATTTTCAACATAAAAGTTTATTTGTAGCTTACCATCCTTTTTGAAACAATTTTCTCAGTAAATCGAACTTTCAGATTTCAGCGTATTCTGAAAAACATCCATCTCCCTCACCACGAGCCTACCCAAATATTTAGACACAACTGTTAGGAAATTCAATATCCAAGCAGGAATTCCTTGTTCCCTTATCCAAGCTCCCTATTCACCCCAAAATTCTAAAAACAAAACAATACAAAACAAAAAAACCCTCCCATATGAGGTATTAAAAAAAGAGGGGCAACAAGTGAATGTCATAAGGAAACTGAGGCTTTGAAGCATCTTCAGTGGGGTGAGTAGGGGTACGATCCACTTTCCCACATACATTTTTATTATCAGGTTAAAATAATATCTAAGATTTCTCTATTTGTGAGCTCTCAAAGCCAAACGGCCATGACTGGCGAGGTCCCCTTTGCTCCATTTCTGTGAAGTAGCAGCAGAGGAAGAGACACCACTGAGAAGCGCTGGGCAGCTGCAAGGTCAGACCTCCAGGCCAGATCACGCCCCTAAATTCACTTGACGGCTCTACCATAGGCTACTCGTTTCCCGGTCAAATAAAGATGTCTTCATTATTAAGTTCGAATCATGTATATGCTTAAATCATACTTTACAGTAAAAGTACATCTCAGTTTCACATCGTCCATTAAGTATCTTTCCACCTACATATTGAACGTCTTGTTTAAAGACTCAAACAGACCACACTGTACGCACCCTTGGCACACAGGCCATGGACATGATGACCTTGGACGTAGCTTCAGAGACTGCAGTTACTTACTGTACCTTCTGTCCTGCAATAACAACACGGTCCCCCAACTTCAGGCCAACTGATGTAAGCACTGCCTTGCTGGTGACACGATCATAATTTGGAAGTGCGGGCTTGGAGACATCACAGGACAGAGGCATCGCATCTAACAGCATCTGCTTGATTTCTTTAGCAGTTGCCGCAGCATCGGCCATTTCCAACGGCATGTCCACTGGGTCTGGAACCACATCAGCAGGGGTCTGTCCTTTGTCATTCTATAAATAAGGAGACGAGAAAATCTGACTTCACGTGAAAATTACTTAGAGCTCTATACAAGCATATAAAATTATTTTTGGAAAAATATAAAGTTAAACGCATTCGCCATTTATTTACTCAAACACATTTAACATCTCCTATATGCCAGACACCATTCTAAGTGATAAAGATGCCACATAAAGAAAACCAAAAGCCCTGGCCTCCAAAAGCACTTGCCAGTAGGAGAGACAGGCTATAAACAATCAAACAAGTCAGATACATGGTATGTTAATGCTAAAAGTGACAGCAAGAAAAAAAATACCACAGGGAAGGGGAATGGAGGACACAGGAGCAGAGGTGGCTATTAACGCCCAGTGGTCTGGGGAAGCCTCATTGCTAAGATGCACTGACCCAGAAGGC